CACTGATAGCTGTTCGTGTGGCTGTACCGTAGCTGGTTCTGACAGACTGTGTTTTAGCCACCTTAATTGTGTGAAATTCCCGAAGCTGTGTCCGGTAGCATGGCATTCTAGCTCTGCTGGAACAGCTGATTAGATTCTAGTGTGATGGCCAGTGAGGAGGTGGCAAATGGGTTTTCCAAAGTCACGTGAGGGTCAACCAAGAGCTACTGGAGGTTTCTATTGGATTGTTCAGCGAGTGCATTTAACCCACAGCCTTCTGCAGAGACAGGACAGTATAAAATCATGAACCATTGGCAAAGCGAAAGCATGTTGAACTGAAGTGACGTGCAAGATGATCATGCTTACAGGCAGTTCCCTTGATTATGTCAAAGCAGTATTTTATAGCTCGTGGCCCGCTGCGTAGTGGTGGTTGCTAATGGTTTTCCTTATGCTGCTAGGACCAAAGTTGTTTAGCGTGGAGAAAGCAGCAGGTTATTGGCTGCAGCCAGTCAGGGCCGCAGAAAACTTTGTTAGGCACGCAAAGGTGCGCTCTGTTCTCTGTACCAGCCTGGTCACTCAGGTGCAGCTTACAGCAGCCTGTCACTTGCACATGTATCTGCCCAGTTGTCTGTAAAATGTGTGGGCAAACACGGCATTGTAGGCGTGTGAGCACAAGGAAGCTCGAAGTTGGCTGACTGTATGGTGATGTATTGGACTCTTCAAATGTCGTAACTGATCTTCTTCTCTCATAGATGGGATTGGATTTGCTGAATTTCATACCACGTAATACAACTTCTTCTGGGACATGCGACAGTACGTCTGCCTTCTTGAATCTGATGTTTGAGAAAACAAGGGTTATCTTCCACTTTGCGTTGGTAAGAATCTCTAGACAAAGCCTGTAGCGTCCGCAGGACTTCTCACGTGGGAAAACTAACTGGGGCAAGTGCAAGAGAAAAAAGATGCAACTACAGGAAGGGGAGTAAATAATTCCTTTGGTTTTAATACTAGGATTTAGAGGGTTTAATACTTGGTAACTGTTGTGAGGAAAGAATATATACACATATGTACACACACACATATACAGACAGACATCTATTTAGTTTGGGGAATTTGCTTTATTGCCTACTGTCTGTGAAGCTTCTCGCCCAACCTGAGAACAGTTCTGCTGCAGCCTGTGACAAACGGGTATCTCATCTAACTGTACACGTCTGGAACTGGATTTAAGTCCTCGTTTGTATTCTGTGTACAGCCCTAGAGCCTCGTGAGCTTGTCTTACGGACTCCTGTGATGGTGGGAAATCCTGTTTCCCACAGCCCTGCCCCAGTACTGTATTAGAGCTGTGTACCCTCGAGGACTGAATCCGCTGTGTCAGCTTCATGCTGCTTTGAATACTTGTGGGATTGATCAAATGTGATCAACTGGACCTGTTGCTGTTAAAGGAGACTCCACAGCTCTGTGGGGTACCCAGCTGCTTTAAAGCTGTGTCTGTAGCACATGTGAGGCACAGGTGGGACTATACCTTTAGTGTGGAGGTCAAGTTAGCAGTCTGAGGGGTGGCAGTCCCCCTTTCTCTCCCCCAAAGTGATCTTCCCTAAGATGCACACCTTCTGTGGGTTTTCTCTCTCAAAGTACAGCTAAGCTCTTCCTTTGGATGCTAATCCCAATGGTGGACTATCCTTTGAAAACCTTTCTCAAAACGTATGTGGAATTGAACTCAAATCTTAACAGCTTATGTTGTACATCGTTACCTTGAATGACAACCGCTGGTTTGTTTTTGTTTTTTTTTAAAAAGAATTCAAGTACTGAAAAATTCTTCTTGCAAGGTGTGAATGTAAGCACGACTCTGCCTTCTGAAGCAAAAGGTAGGGACTTTTAAGAAGTTTACTTTCAGTGGCTACTACTGTAACTATTAAGGGTTGCCTGCATTAAATAACCCATTAGAAGCGTTGGGGATGAATGTATCGAATTTAAGCTCTGTGAGCTTACAGCTCCTGCTCTTCAGGATTCTGTAATCAGACTTTCTCCTCCACAGTTCCAAAGTTTGAAGCATCGAACAACAGCATGAGCGAGCTGAGAGCTACAGTTGGGAACTCCTACAAGTGCAGTGCAGAGGAGAATCTCCAGGTCACGGATAAAGCTCTTGTCAATGTATTTAATGTTCAGATCCAGGTTTTCAAGATTGATGGAGACAAATTTGGTGCAGGTAAGAGGTTTACGTTTGGGGGGGAGAGCAGAACCAAAGATTTGTGAAGTGCACTTTGATATCAATGTGTAATATTCTGTAGTCCAGTGTCAGCTTGTGGGCGCTGTGCTTTGTCTCTGCATGCCCTGTTACAGATGTTGCAGGGGCTGATAAATGCCCGAGTTGAGGCTAGCGCAAGAAGTGTGTAAAAAGCTTTGAAATATTGAAACAACTGGGACCTGTTCCTCGTGGTCCAGAGAAGAGTTAAGGACTCCTAACCTTGTGCAGGCAGTTGTATGAAAGGGGCAAAGTTCTGGGAAGTTCCTGACTCTTAGTGCTGTCCTTTGTGACTGTGGTTAAAGCAAAGCGGCTAGGGGAGGAGTGGCACGGATATATTTACAATGGGTAGGCTTCATATAACCGTAGCAGCTCTTGAGAAGGAAACAATTATTTTAAATCGCTCCATTGTGCATCCAACTAGCACTGGAAAGACGGATATATTTACAATGGGTAGGCTTCATATAACAGTAGCAGCTCTTGAGAAGGAAACAATTATTCAAGAGCTTTGTCCTGAATTATCATAGCGGACTTGGCTTCCTTTTGGTTGTTGGTTAAGCTAGAAGTTAACTTGAGCCAGTTCTATCTATGTGCTGAGAGCAGACACGTGAAGTTCTGGATGTAGCCATCTGCTGGCGCACTAGTGCCTAACATGGATCTTTCTCTCTCTCTCTCCCCCTCCCTCTCCAGTGGAAGAATGTCAACTGGATGAAAATAACATGCTGATCCCTATCATAGTTGGTGCAGCCCTTGCTGGTCTTGTTCTAATTGTCTTGATTGCTTACTTGATTGGCAGAAAGAGGAGCCATGCTGGATATCAAACAATTTGATGACTTGCACTAAAATCCAGTGTAGATGAAAAGCAATTGCAAGAAGCTGGGAAAAAAAAAAACCCCACACATTTCCCCCGAGATAAGATTGATGTTGTAAGGGAACACCTTTTCTTGCAAATTGCTGCTTCTTTAAAGTCTGCTTTATTAAATGTGAAATCATCTTGCAGCATTTAACTATGCACAAAAATAACTTCTGAAAATTCTGGTGTTTAATTTTGCTAACTAGTTTAAATATTTACCCACTTAGAAACAAGCTAAAAGTTTTTAAGGGTGCTTCTTTGGAATTGGCATAAGGTAAGGTCAGCTAAAGACTCCAGAGAGGGATGTTGCTAATTCACACTGACTCAATTTCAGAACTCTTAACAAAGGGAAAAGGTTCATTCTTCGTACTGCTGCCATCCAGCGATGATGTTAATGATACTTATGATGCATTTAAAGAAATTCAGTAACAACTGACAAAATTGAAATTTAAAATCTGAACGCCACCTTGTCTTTTAGGTGTGTATTTTTTACTAAGCTTTAAACTCAATGCCTGGCACATGCAGGGTGTGAACAACGCAATACTCGAACCTTACAGGAACTCTTGATGATTGGACAACTCCCCTGTTTGATATTTTTGATGCTACGCCAGCTTGTTAGGAGCTGGTACTTTTTTAAAATGGGTGTTATTTTTATTTACGTTTTTTTGTAAAGTGATTTCAGTCTCTTCTGTTGGAAGGTCCAGAGAGATCCTGTTACTGCACATGTGTACAATATAGATCTCAATCTGCTGAATCTCTTGCTTTAAACTTGGCTGGGTGGTTGTACACTTTAAGGATCAGTTCTTATGTATGCATTGCCTGTAACAATGCTAATAAAAACACTTTTTTTCTGTATATCTTAGTGTTGCTGATCACTCTTCAAAACATTTGACCGTTCAGTAAGTGCTAAAGTCTTGCTTTGGCTTACTTTGAGGGCTTTAAGCGATCCTTAGTGTGGAGTTATGTTAAAAGAACTGTTTAAGTTCTTTTCTCTGTGTGGCGCAAAGGTGAGGCTTAACTCCTTGTCTTCAAAACGGGGCACTGTTCTGGACTTTGTGCTTGGCAACAGTAAAGCTGCTGCGTATCAGTAACCCGAGATCTGGAGAAGGTAACTCTTACATTAAGCCAGTTGCTGAGAAATGCCAGTGTGTTGGTCTGCCCTGCTCAGCACCGCTTCCTGAAAGCGCTGCTAAGACACGCAGTGTAAGGACTGCGTAAATGACATCTTTTGTTGTGTTTTGAAGTTGGATTCTTACCACAGAGTAGGAAACGCATGTCTGCTGAGGTCAGTGTGTCTTGTAATGCGCTTTGTGTTTAAAGCTTCCCTCGCTCCCTCCTGCAGAAAGGCTGTGGTGTTAACAGTACTAGCTACACAGGGCAGGAGCCAAGGCACACTGAAACGTTCCACAGAATGCTGTTCTTATGACAAAGACCTGAACGTGTGGGAATAAGGCTGGAATATTTTGGCTCGTCTGCCCGGCTACCTTGAAGGTACCTGGGAACTATGGATTTGCTACTGGTGAATAAACTACTATTTCCTACTACCTGCTGACGTAAGTCTGGTACTGCTACTGTCCTTACATGTCAGTACTCGAGGAAAAAGGTGTTGGTCTGGTGCCATAAACGATGGGATGGCTTGGAATCATACTGCTGAGTAGCTGTCTCTGCTTGGCTGCTTCCTCTGAAATGCAGTACTTAAAGGGGGCCTGTAGGCAAGATGGGGACAGTCTTTTTAGCAGGGCCAGTTGCGACAGGAGAAGGGGTAATGGTTTTAAACTAAAGGAGGGCAGATTTATACTAGATACAAGGAAGAAATTCTTTACAATGAGGGTGGTGAAACACTGGCAGGGGTTGCCCAGAGAGGTAGTGGAGGCCCCATCCCTGGAAACATTCAAGGCCAGGTTGGACGGGGCTCTGAGCAACCTGATCCAGTTAGCGGTGTCCCTGCTCACTGCAGGGGGGTTGGGCTAGATGGCCTCTAAAATATTAGCCTTCCTTGACAAGGAATGAAGATAACTTGGAGTAGAGTGGTGTTAAAAGGCAAGGTATTCAACAGGGAGAATAAAAAGCACAGATTGCTGGCCTCCCTTCAGTTGTCTTCCCTCCCTTCCCCAGTGGGAAGGCAAGGGAAAGGATTTGGCCACGAGAGGGCTCTGTAAGGATGAGAAAGCAATTCCCTGGCACCCGGCCCCAGCAGGGCTGGGGGCAGCCTAGGGGCAAGGCTGGTGCTTTGCTTGTTTCTGCCCAGGGGTAGGATATTTAAACTTGCATTAAGGTACGGCTTTGGATATGCCCGATGTCTCACCCTGTCAGGGAATAAGTCTGTTTCTGGCTGGCTTCACAGCATCTACTTTCAGCATCCCTTACAACAAGGTGAGAAATGCTACTTACAGATCTGAGTCAAATTATTTGTTACTGTGCTGGAGCTAGAAGAGCCTGAATAAACATTAGAATATTAAGAGTGGTTATAGAGGATTTTTTGCTGCTGCTTTCTGTAGCCTGGACTTGCATGTGTTCCCTGCTGCCTTCACCTGAAGAGCTGTTACACACTGCATAGAGTAACTGTTGGTGAAGATAACTATCACTTTCCTCACTGGGGTCTGGCCCTGTGCTTTGCCGTATTTGAGTCCCTTAAGGGACAGCAGCGAGGAAAAAGGAAGATGCTTGTATTCGATCTAACTAGTGGCAGTCAAGAAAGAGATCTGATATCTTACTCTCTTTACACCAAGAAACAGGTTCTGACAAATTAAATTAATTTATTTTATACAAATGATATGGGTGTCACGGTTAATACAGTAGGAAGGATATGTAATTTTATACATGTGTTTTCTTTTCACATTACAAAATGCCCTGAAAAGACAAGGACGGTGACTGCTTTTTTTAAAAGGAGTGTCCTGACACTGATCACATTCTACTCTGAAAACACTTTAATCCTGTAAAAAAAACAAAACAAAACCAAACCAAAAAAAAAAACCCCATCACCAAAAAACCCAACAGAATCACCAGTTCCAGTTATGAATTCTGACATACAGTACAAGGTGTCAACAACACTTACTTGAAAGGCAGGAAAAATTGGTCAAGTGTCAGTTAACTCATGGAAAGCTTAAAGTGTGCTTTAGTCAGTGCAAGTAGAGGAATGTGTCAATTGCTGTAGTATCTGACCACCTGGCTAAATCTGGTGTGTTATCCCTGAGAAAGCAGCTTCTCTCTGCAAGTCTCTCGGAGTTTGTTGATTGTTGCCATGGACAAGCTTCCAGGGTCTGTGAATATTTTCTGGGGGCGAAAGGAGAGAATTCTTAGTTAAGATTCTGGCTCTGACCAGCACCCTGGAATTGTCACATAATTCTCTGAAGTGTGAAATCCCTGCTTTGGTATCCATACTGTGACAGCGCTTACTGCTGGTTGGCCTCCCTGGAACATGGGAGATCTTCATCTACTCTGCTGTTAAGCTGTGGTAGACCTGCAGCTTGTAACAAGTGCCCTATGTTATGCAAAAGCAACACTACCGAAAAAGCTAGTTGGAATATAAGTGTCCAGTTAAAACTATAACAGAAGGCATTTGTGTTGGCGGATGGCGGGCGTATTTAGAGGCTATCCTGGGTGATGCTACAAAGCACCCGTGCGTTTCTCATGTGGTGCTAGCATAGGGTGTTCAGGCTCTGGAACACATGCGTATGTACACCGCTATGTTCTTACTGCAAAAAAATCAGTCTTAATCCCTCATTATGCTACCTTTGCTGCTTCTTCTCTACTGTGATTTCCGGAGTAGCAATGTATATGGATGTAAGAATTTGAGGCATTTCAAATGCTGTCACACATATTGGGAACAGTTTTTTGGTTTGACTTGTCGTTCAAGAGCAATACATTTGTTTTCAGTACTTTATCTAAAACTTTGACTGAACAAAACTACGATGCAAGCCCCAAGTTTGTGCACTTTAATCTGCAGTTAAGACGTGGGCCCCTCAGCTCTCTGTAGTTGTAACTGACAACTCTGGAGATGAGATTTTTTTGAGCCAGTTTTGAATAGCCTTCTGGTAAAGAAGTCTGCATTCCATTAAACTAGAAACTACATTTTGTTCAGGGGGAGGGGGGACATAAAATATTCAGCCGTCACCACCTCCACTGGTACCACTCTCTGTTCTGCTGGGGAAAAAAAACCAGAAATAACACAATCAAACCCAAAAGTACGTGTTTTGAAGTTACGTAAGAACCTAACCTAAATTGTTTATGTAATTGCCTTGAAAACCCCCTTACTACAGTCACCAACACAGTTAAAATAAGTATTTTATTCAGAGTAACTGCAAGAAAATGGTAGTTGATTTTTCTAAACCCAGCTGCTGTAAAATGTAACGTAACTAAAGGGCTGGGGGGCGGGGGGAAGTCCTTCAAGGACAAGAGCTTGTATCAACCTCTGAACTGGTATTCTCATGGTGGTTAATACTTAACACAACTCTTACTCTAAACCCTTTATGGAACGGGAAAACCCCTCAAACGTCTCCCTTCTAAATGAAGCTGTACCTGTGATTTATTTTTCCCTTGCTCCTTTAATTAAAAGGTTCACAAACATTACTAAGTTAAGCTTATTTTTCATCTATATGAGCAAAGATAAAACCTAACATAAATGACGTCCTACTACGACAGACCCCATGCACAGAGCTCTGAGGTGAGCACAAAACTCTTTGGGGAGTAAAAGTCACCGACTGGGATGCAGTTTTGTGCACATTTAGCAAACAGTGATAGTGGAGTTGGCCAAGTGATTTATGACTGTTATGCTCCTGTTTGGTTTTGGGGTTGGGTTTGTTTGTTTTTTTTCAATTAGTATCTTCCACATTTTAATCTTCTGAGTTAAGCTCTGAATCTAGTGCTTTATACAGATTTGGCATCCAACCCATTAATAGTTTACAAGAATAATTCTTAGTTTGCAGGTTGTCCTAAGACTTAAGCACCCAACTTCATGGAATTTGTCTGGAAAAAAGAACTTGGCACCACCTTTTTGTTCTTTGCCTAAACAATGCTTTATATTTTGGCACTATGAAGATTTATCAATGCAAGTTTAAAATTCATTTTGTGTCTATTCTACAATATTCTGTTATAATTCATCTGAAAAAAGCACAGGAACACAATGCATAGTTCACGGAAAGAATGCACTGAAGTTTTTTTCTTGTCAGATTTCCTGCCTTAACTGGTAAAAAGGGCAAAAAGAATTTTTTGTCCCTGAATGACAGATGATGTGAATGGCTTACTGCCTATGGATTGAGATGATAATACTTTTTTTTTTTTTTAAAAGTTTAAAGGGTTTGCATTTGTTATATAAAAACATTCTTCATCCTTTTGACAATTCCTACAGATACATTTCTCCTAACTGTATCTATCTTTTTGACAGAGCAAGACATTTCTAAGTCAGTCTTGTTTTTAATTTGTAACCACTAAAAGCTGCAGAGAATTTACCTGCATGAAGCTGTGACACTCCGTTACAAATGTTCCTTTGGTGATCTGCTTAAATTTATCACAAATGTCAGGGAAATTCGTGGCTTCCAAAATAAAAGCTTGGTGTTGCTTAATTAACGTTAAGGCCACGCGGAAGATGATCTTCGACCCTTCGTAGAATAAACAATCCCATATTCGGAGCACAGTCTACAGGAAAAGAGAGAATTCAGATTACAGCTGCTTGATTTCCAGGAGGTAATTATTAACTAAAGCACTACAAATGAAATAATGATTATGAGCATATATTGAGAGAATTTTGTGTTACCCATTACCTCTACTGGAAGAATGTCAATGAACAAGCATATAAACCAGCGTGACACCACTAGGGTCCACATGACTCCGTGTCTTTCCATCAGCTCTGCCACAGCTGGAACTTTCATTTTCACAAGTTCTCCGAGGACTTCCTGATCAGTTTTCAGGCCCAACATTGCAGGACTGTAATAATCTTGGAGAGAAGAAACCAAAATTTAGGAATCTCTGGATGTGATTTTTCCACAGAATTGAAGAGAGCGCTCTGTACAGCTGAGTCTATAAAGGCACGTTGAGCCTCCGAATCCCAAATTGGAGTGAATTAAACCATGCAGTAAAGATGTCTGCATGGTGGTCATACAGCACTTCTCTTTCAGCCAAGGCTGGTCCCTCTACACCAACCCTTCATTCGCGCCTACCAAAGTATCTTCTTACTCTCTGATGTTTTGTGGCAATTCATGCTTCCTTCCCAAGGAAGGATAATCTGGGTAGTTTGTATCTACTAACTTAAACTACAGAAGCCTTACTGATATTTAAACAGCTCAATGTAACCAGCACCTCCTTCCCACCTGGGGGGGGCTGCACACCTCCCAGTCCATACAATACCTAGACAGGTAACAAAAAACACCAAAACAACCCATAGCCTTTAGACTGGGTCCAGTCACAAACTGGCAATGTGAATTTCTGAGAGTGTCAGCTGTGCAGGGGTGCCGCAGGCCAGACACCACTTCTAGGGTATGACCTAGCTGTTAAAAGAGTTTTTCTCTCTTTTTCTCTCTGAGCTAAGGAAATCCCAATTTTCACAGACTAATTCCAGAAGGAAGTAAATGACAGGTCCCCCAGGCAACATCTCTTCCCACTTAATTTGTCTGCGAGGCAGGGCTTGAAATTAGACCTACATCTCCTACAGCCTCCTGCTGGCCACTGCACTGAACAGTTAAATCCAAAATTAAGAAAAATGGAGCACACTACAACTGTTCCTCCACAGCCTGTTTGACAGGGTAAGCATTTTTGTTACCAGGGTGCAAGCTGAATAACAAGCATTTCTGTTCTGTAAATGAGTCGTTCTGGGTATACTTAAGGGAAGAAAAAGATTATTTTAGTTCGTAAGAGTTCAGATGGCCCAGCAAGGGACAAGAGTTACAGAGATATTTAAAGAATTTATATTTTGGGTTTAGATGTTGACAGAAACAGTTAAGCTGGACTTGATGGCTCCAGCCCTGGGAAGCAATCATTGATGGTTCACCAGTGCTTTGCTGACAAGACCTAGGTTACTAACATTATTTACTGAAAGACACAACTGGTATCACAAGCGCCTTTCTGTGTGTTTCGGTCTTTCACTGATTCTGGACAGCTGCAATTCAGGTTTCTCTAACTTAGCTGGTTTCTGCCAAGGTTCCCAGGGACTCACAGCACAGACCACCGGTTCACATGAAGGTGGAGGAATCAGAAAGAGGAAAGTCCATTGTCCGAAATAATTTTAATAAAACCTCCCAGTGCCACAAATAAGTTTAAGAAGATGTCCAAGTTACATGGCATGTTTATAGCCACTTCCTGAAATCAGAAAGGGAGTTCAATATTGCTCTCCTTTCTGCATCGATGGTTTTCTTGAACAGACTTCCCACCCTGGGAGCTAAGTGCTCTCCATTTGTCCTGTTCAAACTGAAGAACATCTGCAGGAGTTTTTATGGTTCTAAGGAGCATTGCATTCGACCTTTAGGAATCCAGCTTTTTGTCTGTGATCCTTATTTTCTTTGTTCCCATTGAGGAATGATAGGTGAAACTCCTCTACAGACTCTGCCACTATATACATTCCTTTAGCCATTTGCCTTTCAATTGCTCGTAGGGAAAACTCAGAGAGCTAAAGCACAAGTAATCCCATGAAAAAGTACTAAAAACAAAACAGAAGCACACCATGACCTCAAAGCCAGCACAAAACCCACTCTCCATATTTTGTGTTAGTGTTGTGCTCATTTGTGGGCTGGAGTACAGGTAAGGTAGCATTAACTGGCTGAGTAACCCTTTTTTAAAATGCTGCTTTAATGTAAGTGAAAAACAAAGAATCACATTTCATATAACAGAACAGGCCTTCCTCCCTTTCCTACCCTTTCCTCCTCCTCTCATACAACCACAAACCTTTTTTTTTTTTTTCTTTTTTGTGCTCCTGAGACATGCGAGTACTTAAAATCTTCAAGTTACCACTGGCGGGTGTCCTCAGGAGGAAGGGCAGCAGCCCACACTCTCTCTGCTCTGCACTGCTGCAATCATCCAATATGCTGAAATCAACAGCAGCTGCTATTTTTAATTTGTACAGCAAAGTAAATGTCAGGATCTCAGCGAGAACGCAACCAGACACCCACCCACTCAGCTTTTTGAGAGCTGGCGAGTAAAACGTTAACAGCCAGGCAACTCGGATACGTCACTCCTTGAATTACTGCAGCAGCAAGCAGCCGGGAAGCCTTGGCGTAAATTAAAATTTCCTTCAAGTTTGTTAGATTGTACTGCTGGACAGAAAGGAAAAAGGAACTATTCATGTATCTGGGGCAGCCTCCTGCTGTTCCTCGTGGAGCAGGAGCAGCTCCCATGTACCCGGGTATGCAGCGCTGCAACATTCAGCCCAGCGCCGCTGCAAAACAAGCGGGAGAAGGGATTAATGATTTTATGCAAATGCCAATAACTGAGTCGAAGGGTTTTTTTCCAGGCTATTAACTGCCAGTTTGCCAGTTCACAACAGGAAGAAGTTACATTAAAAGAATCTGCATCCAAGATATTTTAATATATAATTATTATACATTAATTATAGTTACCGTGTATATTAATTATAAGTATTACACATAATTAATATGTAATTATAATTTAATATATAGTTTTTATATATGTATGTGTGTGTATATATATATATATACACACACACACTTCTATGCATAAATATATGTATACAAAATTAGCTCCTCAAATTAGGAAAGCCGCCTTTCCAGTCCTCTGGAAACATTCCTGCAGGCCCCCTTATTTGTGCAAAACTTACCCACAGATCATTTACAAGGAACGTTAACAGCACTGCAGTAGCCCAGGGGATAGCACAGGTCTGACCTTACGGCTCTAACATCGATCTTCCGAGGGCAGCGTTGCCCCTGGGGGGGTGGCAGGCCTCCAGGCACAGCCACCCCGGGGCACAGCCAGCAGCACCCACGCCTGCGCTCAGCCTGAGGGACCCGCACCAAGTCATCAGGGATATGCAGGGCTAGCCAGAACCACACAGACGAGTTGGAAGAGGATCCAGCATCATGTGTGAGCCACTTTTTGTGGTCCGCGCCTGGCCTCACTAGTGAAAATGATTTTGTAACTTGGTTTGGTGCCCAAGTGCTTGGTAACATTTAGCCTACACGGCTCTTACTCTGTTCTTATTTACTAGGGATGCCCAGTCCCTAAGCCTTCTGGCTTAGTCCCCTCAGCAAAAATCCTGCAGCTCTCCCTTGCTGCAAACGTTTCACTGTGTGCCCTATTTTTCTAATCTCTTATAATTGGCTGCTCTGCCCAGAATCTCTCCCTAAAGTCAAGATATCCTTGTTTATAAACAAGTCTACACAAGCCTAACCTTCCCCCATACCACAAAGCTGTTTTTCACAAGATACCGTGCCTCAAATCATTTTTACTTACCTACCATCAAAATACATTAGCTTTATGTTCTCTTCATATCTTATCTTACAAATGATTTGAAATTTCTAGGTTTGCATGATCCACATTTAATTAGTGTAGTAAGTATTTTTCTCTCTCAATAATCTGACAAAATACTGAGCAGTTGATGACCCCAAAAAGACCTGAGTCAGTAACTGCTCACAATCTGCCACTTACTAATTAAAACAAACAAACAAACCAACCAAACAAACAAACGTATGCTAATTATATTGTGTTTCTATTGATTAAGGTTGGTCTATAGGAATGTCCCCTGACAATATATCTATCATCCCCCTGAAAAAACCACATAGCCAGATTGCTTCCTTTTATTCCTCAAAGTGTCAAATGGAAATGATGATGTTAACGTTTAGGTGGTCATACGCTGCATTACTTTTCATCACATCTTCTTCTGGAAGGTAACAAGTGAAATATTGCATTATAAATTATTATTATTACATTCTATTATTGAATAATTATTATTAAATTCCAGAAAAATGTCTAGATGAAAATGAAGTTTCCCAATATGAAATTCCACGTTTCCAAGCTCTTTTGTAAACTGGTCCTAGGCTTTCCTTACTTTCCTCTCAGCTTTCCTTTGTCTGCTGCATACCCACACACACCTGCTTTGCCTAGTCTGTCAATCCTGGTGCCTGCCTCTGGATTTTGGATGCCTTGTTAAGTTTAGGAGTGCCCGAGGGTGTAGCAGAGCGCAATGCAGGCAGCATTCCACGTGGAATTTGCCCCACTGAGTGCCCCTTCCTCATCCAAGTCCCTGACCCTTTATGAGCAGAGCAGCCCCATGGCTTTGCTGGGATCGTCAGCTTCTCTTCCTCTTGGAGCCAAGCAGCAAGAAGAAAAAGCCAGCTTCACCAACTGCCAGGTATTTTATTGCTACTGTACACCACGGGTGACTAGATGAAGGGACTTTTTTTTCTTGTTTAAAGGGCTTTTTGTTACTAACACTGCACTGACTGTGGCACTTAGCTCGAAATGTGTTCTAGCTCAGCATCTGGCAGAGATGCCCCTTAAACTACATTTCACTGTCCCCCTATCACAATAATTACCGCCTCTCTGAATCCTACCAGGATGTCCAGGACTAAGACATAACTGTCTGCTCGTGCTCCAGAGCAGTAATGAGATTTGCAGGAAATAAGGATAAAACTTGTAGGGACTGTATGACCTTGTTCTCCTACACAAATGGATTAAGAGGTTCCAAAAATAAAAGTTAAGAAGCGGTACTCTTATAGCCTTAAATTACCTCTACAAGTTGGAGCTGCAGAAGTTAAAAAAAGAATCCTTTAAGTCTGTTGTGCATATGTTAGGTTAAATATAAATACTCCTGCTGGAACTAACATGATATGAATTCTTAGTGTTATAGAAATACCCAAGACGAAACCTCAGCTCTGCTGTTTATCTTCCAGCATTTCTAGTTATTATTTCCAGACCCTATATAACCTAGCCTGGGACAAACTGTGGGATTTGTCTTGGTGATTCAATTTATTTAACCAAACTGAAAAATTA